TTTCTTCTAAGGAGCTTAAAGGGTTTTGCAAACCCTAATAATGGTACTTTTTTAGCACAAGGAATAATAGCAGTCTCTACTGATGGGAAGACTGAGGTTCAGGGATCTAATCAAAATCCAAGGAATATAATCCACAGACCCTACATCCCAGGCCTCATATATTATACCATTTTTCATCCTACTCCCCAGAAGTCATTCTTTGTCTTGAAGAGAGCTGACACATGGTTGATGTGGTCTCTGCCTTGGAAGTTGTTTTTTTTAGCAAAAGATTAAAAAGCCCTCTTCTCTTTAGTTACTTAAGAAGTGGCATAAGGGTGCCCCAAAACAGAAAAACTGGATATTCCAAAAATAATTTTGGGGAAAAAAAAAAAATAATAAGAAAAAAATCTTCATTTTGTGGCTAGGAAGTTGTACAGCAGTCACTGAGAGGAAAGCTCTGAAAATGCAGCTTCAGAGTCATGCAATTTAAAGGTGAATTTGGCAGAAACTGTGCCTTTCTGAAGTTTTCAAACACACCAGCACAACCCCTGAACCCATGAACAACCATTCACTGCACAAATACACGTGAAATACTTGTGTTCCCATTCACACTCTTTTCCCCTCACACATGGATTTCTGCCATGTGGATTTGTAGCCCATACAGGCATCCAAACACACTCAGGGACACGGAGCACAATTAATGGAGTGCACACTCAAACACCCACCCCTGCACACTCACATGCATCTTAAAGCTTTTGCTCTGGGAAATTCCTTTTCAAGAATCGGAAGTAAATGTCAAAAGTTAAAAACAAAAGACAAACCAGAACGTGGGGAAACCACACAAACAAAAGCAAGCACGTACCTACACACACACACACACACACACACACACACACACACACACACACACACTGTGGAGGCTGCCCACAACTACAGCTCTGGGTTTGCCTGCCCTGGTCTGCTGAACCTCTCAGATTTCAGGCTGATGAATCCATGGCTGCAGGTCAAACTGGACTGTGCCAGGGGTCTCCATCCTCCCTCCTAGCTGACCACAGTAAGAACTGACCCTTCACTCCAAGAGCAGCACCTCCCATGATGCTACACCCTTCAGCTTCTAAGGAGTTAAGCAGAAATATTTTACCTGCCCCTGACCAGTCTCAACATCTCCTATTAACGGAGCTGATTGGCGTTTTGGGGTTTATCGTTCCTGTCCTTTTCGGAGCCCAGGTGTCTCAGAACAAGACAAGACAGAGTACAGAAACACAGGGCAGGGCTGGCTCAAGCCCACAGACAGCGAGGAAGCAACAAATCCCCGAGGAGATGGGAGAAGTGTGTCTGAACATCTGCCTCACTCTGCTGGGGGAGGATGACAATCGTCCGGCCAAGGTGGGCTGCTACTTCCAAAGCCCATTTCCTACAAGGTGTAACATACCAAGTGCTGCTAGCAGGGAGGGAATCTGACAGGACAAACCGACATACAGAACATTCTCTTATTCAATAAGGGTTATAAAAAGTGCAAAGGGATTTCAGAACATTTCAGAACAAACTCAATCCAGAGCTGCCGCTTATTTATCAGCGCATCAAAAAGGTTGTGCAAGTTTTTAGTAACAAACATTAGAAACTAGTAGCAAAGGACTTGCCTAGATAAAAAGAGAAGATTTAAACATGCCAGGTAACAAAAAGACGTGTGCAGAGATCTGTAAAACTGTATAGAAGGAAAGGATTCTTTAGAGGAAACAGAGGGACCATCACACAGTGCTCTTCACAGCCCTTACTGAAAGAGCCAGGGCCAGCCCTGCTGCCTCCTCACCTAACACAGGTGCCTGTTTTTGGGCAGAGGAGTGCCCACATTTTTCATAGGCTTCTCTAAGGGAAAACTGGATTTTGGGCCTTGCCTGACATGAACTAGAGCTGAGAGAGAGCCTTGTCACTGGCAATTAAGCACAGCAGCATGCGCAGCCCTGGAGACTGAAGATCACAACAAGCAGCAGCAGCATGACTGTCTGGACAAGATGCTGAGAAGGAGTGTGATTTATACTGCTTAAATTTGATGTCTGGGAGCTGGGTGTCTAGACAAACCTAACAAACCTAGACACTCACCAGTCACTGGTGGGCACCTCCAAATAGCAATTTATTTCTCTGTCACTGACACGTCCAGGGTGCCTGGGGAGGGAAGAATCCCTCACCACTAACAGCAAGAGGACACCTGGGTGTCTCTCTTCCTCTCAGACAATGGAAGTTAATGAGGAGAATCTGAGAATCTGAATTTCTTCAAAAGGACCCATTGGATTTTCCTGCAGCCTGGGATTTTTTGGCTATTTGTGTACCAAAGCACAAGGATTTCCTTCCTTTCTGCTTAGAATGCTTTTGTATGGATTCAAATACAGCAGTCAGGGAAGTCTTACTGGTGTTTAATAGGATCCATTTCCAATTAAACGTGCTTATTCATCCAGTGCCACCAACAGTTCTCCCTCTACGGATGAGAATTGACCTTTTCCACAATCTGAAGGCTGTTGTAAGTTTCCCTACTTTGATTGTGACAAGTGTGGCAGAGAACAGGTTTTAATTTCACTCTTAAAAATTAACAACCTCAGCCTCATTGTAACATCCCTCTACAAAGTCAACCTGATACTAATATCCACCTAGTAAAAGGGTAACCAAAATTGTTTGCAACATTCTGTGGGAAGTGTTGTAAGCAACTTTTTTCATCCAGAAAGTAAGACATTTAAGAGGTACAAAATAAAAGTTCTTTTTTAGTTAAAAACTGTTTTCCATTCTTTCAAAAGACAAGGAAAATAAACTAGTTTAAAAAAATAAACTAGTTTAAAAAAATAAAATAAACTAGTTTAAAAAAATAAAAATTCATTTATTCAAAATCAAGATGTTACAGCTTGAATAAATAGTCCTGTTTCAGAATTAAAAGAAAAAGAAAAAGAAAAAAAGAAATTGAGCAGAAATTAAACTAGAACCAAGATATGAAAATATTTTGTTTGGAAAGTTCCAAGTAAGGCATTTTTATTTTTCAAAATGCTACCTAATTTTTTTCCCTAAACACAGCACTGAGTGAGAACTATGCTGTCACTTTTCTGCTTGCAATGTGTTGCCTTTACAGTACACAACAATTCCAAGATGGAATGTCTATTCAACAGCCATATAATTTTGGAAATTCACTACTAATTTGAATTCACTACTAATTTTCTGTTCCTTAACCTATTTGCAGCAATTTTCCTTCAATCTTCCTGTTTTCCTGGCCTTTATAAGCTGTTTCTTTCAGTGTAATTTTTGCCCATGCTCATAAACCCATCATAGTCTTTCTTTTGGAAATCTGTGCATTTCCTGCCTGTCCTTTGTCTATTTATCCTATAATTATAGGATAAATAACCCTATATCTCCAAAAAAAAGTGATATAGGAATTTTTTTTTTGCCTGGTGTGATTTATTTCCTGCACACCAGGTGCTCATTTCAGTCTCCATGGCTCACTCAGTCCTTCACCTGTCTGAGATGGGCACGAGTGGGGCCAATCAGTGCAATTCAAGAGATGGAGCAAATCAGGTTGCAAACAAACCAACAAAAAAGGGCTGGAGCTCTGGTGCTTTGTTTTCCTTTGGGATTTCTGCTTTATTTTTATTTTACCTACCTTATTTTATTTTATTTTTTTTTGTCAGTAATTATTTTCACATTTGAAAGGGAACATTAGGAGCAGGTCCCTCTAAGCAGAGGTGATTTGGTGTTTATTCCTGGGTGAGGAGGCACAGGGGGGGGATTCCTGTTTTGGTTCCCTCAGTTCCACCTCGAAAGAACTGACCTTTATCTCTCTGTGGGGTGGAGAGTATTGAACTGCCATGGGAAGCAGAGCATAACACTGGGCAGACCAAAGTGCTGGCCTGGGATTATTCGAGCAGCTTCCCATGGCACAAAGAGCTTTTTCACTTACACTCCACATTCCCCATCACTTTTCCTGCTATACAGTTTAATTCATGCCAGGTGGATTATGAAGGGGAGAAAATGATGCAACAGTCCAAAAAAAAAAGTCCTTTAAGTCGTTCAAAAAAGAAAAAAAATAAAATAAAGAAAAATTAAAAGCAAACCAAATAAAATGAAAAAAATAAAAAAAGAGAAAAAAAAAGGAAAAAGAGCTTCGAAACGAAACAAAAAATTCTGAAAATAAAAAAGAAAGGAGGGAGGGGGAGAGAGAAAAAAAAATAATAAAAAAAAATAATAAAAAAGAACCCGGGAAAGACAAATGAATGTTAGAGCAGGCACGATCATGGACAGACGCCAGCTACTTACGTTCACCTCGGTGATTGCTATATCAACAATGCTACCCACAACAATCAAGGCGTCAAATGTATTCCATGCATCACAGAAATAGTGCTGCATGTGGCAGAGAAGCCAAGGAGAGAGAGAGAGAGAGAGAGAGAGAGAGAGAGGAAAGAAGGAAGAGGAAGAAAGAATGAGAGAGAAAAGAGAGAAGGGAGAGAAAGAGGGAAAGGGAGAAAAGAGGGGGGAAAAAAAGTAAAAAGTAAAATAAAAATAAAACGAAAATAAAAACAAAACAAAAGCATGAAAGAGGGAGAGAAGAGGAAAAAAATAAGAAAAGAAAGAGGTTACGTGGGCATATTAAATAGTCTCTTACCACTCTACAGTATTGGTTGCTCAAACCTCTGTAACGTTTCACATGATGGAGGGGATCAACAAAAGCCTGGTTAGTCAGAAAGTTACACTCAAGCATGTCTACCTTTTGGAGGGAAAAAAAGCACACACACCCCAAACTCTGTGCGCTTTCACCAGTCACAGCCTTGGGGCCAGCTATGACAAGTGAAAAAGAAGGAGGCATTTTCCCCCCCTCCTTTTTTTTTCCCTGGGAGAAGGAGAAGGACGACGGCAAGTTCAATAAAAGCATGACTAGAGGGAAAAAAAACCAGAAAACAAAAAGAGAGAGAAAAAAAGAGAGAAAGAGAGAAGGAACAGCAGAGGAGGAGGAGGTGGTGGTATCCTGGGGAGGGTAGAGTAATACTCACATTAGTTTCACTGAGAATGACGTCTATAATGCTGCCAATTACGATGAGGAAGTCAAAAACATTCCAAGGATCACTAAAGTAACCCTACATAAGGAAGGGGCAGGCAGGATGGGGATTAAAAAGGAATGTTAGACAGACAAAAACAGTTCAAAATTACCATTAGAATTTCTGCCCTGATACCTCAAGGGGTTTTCCTCTTAAGTCTACTTGTTGTGTCTCTCAAGCTGTGGCCCAGGCCTGGGTTCTTCCCTGGCTGGTGTGAGCAGCCCCTCTCCAGCTCATGAGATTCCAGAGAAGCCACCCCTCCCCTCCAACTCTGAGACAGGGGCTGAAGGGAAGTCACACAGATCATTTTGAGCGTGGCTGCTGCCAGGAATGGGGCTTGCAGGACCAGCTCCTCCGTTCCTGGCAGCGCAGCACCCTTCCCGTTTGACTCGGGGGGGAGAGTACGGGAATAGCGCAACGAGGTTTCCTCAAAAAATGGGAATGTCGGTGTCAATCCCCCAGTCTGTGTTCCAGCTGCAGTGCCATGGAGGAGGAGAGGGCACAGCCAAGCTGGGGATGTGCTGTCTTAATCTCACCTTTCTCTTTACCCAGCCACAGGCAGTGTTAGGACTAACAAACAGTTCCTTTCAGTGATGCTTTAGGTCCTGTCTCAGTAACACAGAGCAGGACCGCTGTCTCTGTTACTCTGAGAGCACACCTGCACCACAAAATGCAGCTGTGGATGTAGCCTGGCTCGTCCCACCAGGAGGGGTGAGAATGGGAGCAATGTTGGCTTTAGCATTGCTCAGAGCCAGACCTGCTGCTCACTCCTGCTGAAAGCAGCGCCCCAGCAGCGCTGTGGCCTTGGCTGTCCAGGAAAAGTGCTGGCTGATCCCTTCAGGGGCTATCCCAAACTTCTCATTGTCCTAAGCAGAGCTCAGGAGATGCCAACCAGCACTGCTTGGTTTTCTGGTGGATGGGCTGCAAGGACAGAGGATCCTTTTGGGGAAGGTCCTGCTCAGCCAGGAGATGAACCTCTGTATGTAAACTTCCTCTACAAGTCAATGTCATGAGCAAAGAAAATTCATCTTGCCTCACTGAGCACCTGGGCCAATCTCTTGCCCTTCTTCTACAGTCTTAAAAAGAGGCAAAGACACAAAGTCCTCCGTGCTCCTTTCATGTGTTTGGCTTTGTGAGCATGGGCTAATCTGAGCTCCCTGTTTCCCAGCTGCAGCTTGTCTCCTGTGAGACTGAACCCGAGCTGCACTGTGACTGCTATTCTTAGTCCAAGAGTCAGGTCATGGGTAAAGTGTGAGCCTGTGTTCCCAGGCACTGTTGCAGAAAGCAAAAAGGAGAAAAGAAAAAAAAAAAATTAAAAATGAGAAAAAAAATAAATTATCCCAGTACTGGCACTGTACAAAGTCAGGCTTGGGAACCTCAGATTATTGTGGGTTCAACCATCACAAGGAGCAGGAACTGGCAAAAAGTGTCTTCCTATCTGCTGAAACACTGCCTCCATGAGACTTTGAGACTCACAGTTATGAAAAACAGTACACTTTGGGCAAGGGAAAAAAAAACAAAAAGAAGAAAAAAGAACAAATGAAGCAGAAAAAAAGCCACTGCCCTGCTGGTTCCATGCCAGTGAAGGGAGCTGGTAGAGGGGACTTTGGAATCTTCTCCTCAAAACCAGAATAAAACACCTTTATTCTGCAGCCTGAAATAGGCAACTCTCTTAGCAGATCTACACTGGAAGGAGCAACCATCCCATGGGCAGACATTACTACACAATTAGCTACAACAGGGAGGAAGCAAACAGGAGCAAAAGCAAATTCAGAGAATATTATTATTCAGCGTCCAGCCTAGAAATACACAACAAATATTAGAATGAATTCAGCGGTGATGTCCAGCATCATTAGCAACCAGATGGACCTGGAATAAAACTGTAATTAGACTTCACCAAGAGGAAGGGGAGGGAGAGAACAGCAGATTAAATTGTAGAGGCAAACGCATTTTGAATAAATAAAGGACAGACACAGATCATACAGAGTTACACAAAGTGCCTTTGCAGCCTGGTGTGACCTTGGCAGACAGTGCACTTGCAGGATCAAAGAAGAGAGTAGAAGACAACAGACCCAATCCTCCTGCCCCTGTCCGTGGGCACAGTCCTGCAGAAGGCAGTGGCACTGCCCACGTGCCCAATGAATAAATGCCTTCAACAGCATGCTTCTCTTCTATTTCCTCTCCAATTGCATGGTTTAGGAATTAGTAAGGATTCCAGCAGGAATCCAAACAACTTTAAAAAAAAACCCAAGAGTTTGATTTTGGGCAGCTGCAAGGGTAAAGATCCAAAACGTGTTGTTTTGATGATGACTTTTAATGATTTTTGGTATTTTTGCTGTGATTGGCATGGTACTGCAAAGAATGTTTTTGGTGCAACCAAATTTACAAATTTCTTTTATTCCTGAGCAGCTTCTTACATAGAGCCCAGTAATCACTGCTCTGGTAAAACAGCATTTGCTGTTGATACAGAGCCCAGGTGACAAGTGGCACCAAATCCTGTCCTCAGATGACCACCAAAGCCAGTCAGTTGTAGATTGCTCCCAGGAGTAGTAATACAAACTCACTGGAAGCAATGGCACTGCACATCTCAGGAGAGATTCAGGCCTGGAAAGAGAAGGTCCCTTTTTCATTGCCATCAAAAACAGCTGTTTTGGACCTCTGGGAAGCCACAGTGTATCTGGAGTCACTCTGCTGACTTCAACAGTGTTGCTCCAAATTTACACTGCGAGTTCTTCCTCCTGGGATGCTCTACTGAGTCTCAGCAGCAAGATCCTTGCTTGGAAGTCATGGGGTGGTCTGCTCTGGGATCCCAGAAAAAGCATTATCCCAGTCTGTTATCGTGTGGCTGTCAGGGGAACTCAGCTCTTCTCTTCCTCCTGTGTCTCTTGGATGAGTGAGAGAGAGGAACCATGGATATCAGTGCAGTTTTACTCAACCCCAGCTCCAAAATGCCAGTGTTGAATTAAGGAAACACATGAATTTTAAAACCTCCCTTTCCTCCTCACCTGCTCCCTCTGTGTTTCAAACAGAAGGGTGAAAAACAGGAAGATATTATTCACAGTAAGAGAGCTCAAGGAAACAGAGGACACAGATGCTTCATTGGGGTGCAAGGTGGTGGAATCCTTGCCTGAGGAGCCACCCACCCTCCTTAGGGACCATTACCTACAAATGGCCATGTGGGACTCAGCTTTGGGTCAGACCTCACAACCTGGTCACAAGTTATGGGTGTGTAATGAGAGGGAGCTACACCCCTCCAGGACCTGCCTCTTGTGGCCTCAGAGTCCCTCTTCAAGCCACATTCCTCCCTGGAGTGTACCAGGGTGGCTCATGAAAGACAAACTGAATGAAGGAAGAGCTTTCACTCTAATAAAGAGGTTGTATTTCCAAAATATTTTTTCCCACCAGAAAGTTCTGCATACTTTTCCCAAGAGGGTGGAGGTCTGACTGGAAATGAATTGATGGCACTGTTTGTTTTTGCAGTACAGGAATTTAGAGTGTGATACCATATTTTACCCATAAAGGGAGAAGCCTGACCCTGCTTTAGCTCTAACTGCATGCCACACAATGGCATCCTCAGGGAATGGTAGTCACCCTCTCTTGTGGGATGTCTTTGGAGATCCATGAAGCTTTTGGGGAGAAAAGAGGACAGAGAGAGACCAGGAGGATTGGATTGAATATTCAGGAAGCATGAAATAGCCCCACCAGTAGAGCACATTTTTTTCCCCATTTTTTTTTTTTTTTTTCCCCCCAAAGGTAGCAAATGATAATGTATCACCACATGATCAATAAGTTAATGAAAGGCTGAGCATAAATATGCAGTAGCTGACTGGAATGGAATCTCATTTGTGCAAGAGGAGCAGACATTTCAGAACGAGCGTGCCAATCACTTTTAGGTTTCCTAGTTGCTGATATTAGCTGTTAAAGAAACTGGTTTATTTAGGTGCTAGCTGAGGCATTGATGTCTCTGGACATCATTTCTTCTACTTTTTGTGAATATGAGATCCTAAACAGGACACCTAAGAAGCCTCAATGATGACAACAGGCAAAATTGCCGAAGGGAGTCTGAAGCTCAGAGTCACCTGGAGCCCATATTAAGAATATTTGGTAGCTGGAATGCTGTGCATCCACACTGAGGCACACAAGTCCTCAGGGGAAGGGTGCTGTTGAGTCATGGTGCTGGCTGGGTTTTGAGCATCGAGCCCTGTGGGACCTGCAGGGTCACTTGTGTGTTTGTTTTTTTATCTGCTTAGTCACAGGTTTTCTTTTCTGCCTCTTCTGAGGCGGCTGGAAAAATTTAGCAGGTCCCTCTGAGAAAAAAAATCTCTAAAGATGAGGAGCACATCAAGGGCAGGGCTGATCACTGGGTGGGATCTGGATGCAGGTGGGATGGTCCCCAGTGGAAGGTGATGCTGCAGCAGGAAAAAGGGGAAGGACATGCATAGGTGCATGTTTGTATTTATGAATACAGGAATGAAGCATCGAGGAGGAACTAAGACACAGAGATAACTGCACAGCCTGCAAGGAGGGCAAACTGCAGGATGACCTTGCTACTGCTTCTCTGAAATAATCCTGAGTGCTAAAACAACAGAAAGGAGCATCAAGTCTAAATTAGATGAAGAGAGTACATGGGAAGGAGAGAAAGGGGCTGGTACCCTGATACTCAATGGGATTGCTTAGCAAAAATTTCCTGCTGATTGTAAAGGGCAAAGCAGACTTTTCTGGGGATTCAGCCAGTGCTAGTCTGGCTGATGTTTAGTTAACACAAGGATTCGTTTTTGGAAATGCTGTGGGCTGTTTTGGGCTGTGGGAGTCAGTTCTCACACTTCATTAAAAGAGGCTTTCCCTGAAAGTACTTTTGCAAAAGGGACAGTTTTGAACCAAAGGACATTTACATGGTTCCATGGCTCTTGGCACACGCTCTCAACAGCAGATTTTGGGGGATTCACGTGTGCCCTGAACAATCTCACACAGCTACAATAGCTCCTGACACGGAACGGAGATGAGTGTCAGATGCAAATTCTGTTGTGCTGAGATACCAT